ATGTAGCATAAAACAATTCCGTTTGTCACTATTTTACTCTGGTATGCAAATCTAACTTTCAATGTTGCGTGTCACACGCAATGCTGAAAAACGAAGTAGGCTGACCGTTCCATTTGTAATGCAGCTTCTCTGACAGAGTATATTTGTCACGGATTTAACGCTTCCGTCATACGGCGTATGGTAAGATTCTTTGACAACGTTGGCCGCACAATAAACTTTAAAATTTGTCAAGATTCAACAACAAAGGTTATACCATCTGCTGATCATCAGATTCAATAAGTAGCTATCAGGTAGATAAACGTGGATTGCAGTCTATGAGATATTCGCATCAAACAGCATGGTTGTACTTTACAACCATTCTGTTATTGCCATACCAAAATACATGCTTGCCGTGTTGTTCACAAATCAGTAACCTGTAAACGTTTTTCAGATGGCTGCATCGAAGCAGGCTAGAATAGAAGATTCCGTCACGTCAAAGATAGTCCCTTGTCCAAAAGTTCAAAGGAGACATTTTTGCCACCGTGCCAATCAGCTTCATTCAATAAGTCCGTTCATGTACGATTTCACGATCTACATAGTTACAATACAGCTTGTTGTAAGGCGACTGCCTCAGATTCATGCAGCTTCGGTACGTTAAATCCGTAGCTACAGCAGTGTTACAGTATGATTCATAACGATGACAGTCAGAGGACGCCGGATAGCCATTGTTTTCTGCAAATCGTCGTCTACCTCGCTCATTGGCAAACAAATTCTCTTCAGTATAACTCTCAGTTGGCCACTTCGCTCCAAAGTAAAAGCCCGCAGCGGAATGAATGCGCCGTATCGATCACCTAATCAGATACTTTCCGAATAAAGCTTCAATTATCAATCAAAACAACTTGATGACAGATTTTTATCTGAAGTATTAACGATCTACTGCTGGTTAAGCAGGCAGCAAATAACCGTCACACTGTCTTGCACAATTATCAATTGCTCAGTTTCACTGACGATCGGTAAAATCTATAGCACTGTTTCGTATTCAACGCGATCGTAAAATGGTTCTAAACTCACTGCCATGATTGGTCTCAATGACCAAAGTGGATACAACGTCGCACAAATGGAAAAAGGATACGGAATCAATTATGACAAATCCGATTTATAGAAATTTTAAAACCGGTTGGCTCACTCGTACTATTACAGCATAACTGAACACGGCTGATCAAAGAAAAAGCAAAGTTAGCACCCGCTGGAATGTGAATATTCCCTACACTTTTATAATTAGGTCATTTCTAGTACCTTTCTTTTCATACACTTAATGGTGCGGCTCTGATCTCCATTTTCATGCCAAGAGCGATCTGTTTCAGAGGCAGCGTCTCCAGTAGTCAAGTGACAAACTTAATGTGTAGTCTCTTGTTTCGTCCTTAGAACAGAGTGGTCCTCATTTATCAGCTTGGAGAGTAAAAAATGCGGATGTCCTTATCGGGGGACGAACCAGACAATTTTCGGCTCTCAGTCTGATGCTCTATCGACTGAACCACATCGGTCATTTTCCCTATTTGTTTTAAAAGAGCTTCGTGATCACCCGAAAGGATTCTTCGAAAGTTGGTATTCATTATATTGGTAAAGTTACCATCAAACTATGGGTTCGCATGCCGGCGTATGGAAATGGTACAGCATCAACTCGGAAACTAAGTCTGATTGCTACAGTCAGCAGTGTATACGCATGTAGCGTTCTCCTATCCTTTCCCATGATAGGATCGCAAGGAAATGGTTCTCTGTACTTTCTGCTCACACCGAAACGTCAACGTTCAATTCTGCTGCCCATATAATTAAAAAGTTCATTTGCATTTCTTTCCGGTGTCTTATAAGCCGGCTTTCGTCTATGTGCTTCGGATCATAAAACAATCTCTAGAGTGAAGAAGTCGAACAATT